ATATCATACAATTATTTCCCAGAAACCCAGAGGCCCTCCACGTCATGAGAAAATTACACCGGCGACGTACCTAACCCCTGCGCAATGCGGGGCATGAGTAGCTTGGGAGACGTTATACTGAGGTGATGACGTGACATTGGCGCATATACTTCTGCGAGCGGCATTCGTGAGGCTCGCACCCCCCCAAGGATTGCGATGTATCGCTCAGATCTGCCTGGTGCCTCGCTCCGCTGAACCCGCCACCAGCCTTCGAAAGTTGCGACGGCTTCGCAGATCGCAGCCCCCCAAGGACGGCGAGGCCCCGCTCAGATCTGCGCTGTGCCTCACTCCGCTGGGCCCACCTGCAGCCCTCGAAAGTGGGGACAATTTCGCAGATCGCAGCCCCCCAGGCACGGCGAGGTCTTGCTCAGATCCGCGCGGTGCCTCACTCCGCAGGACCAACCAGCAGCCCTCGAAAGTGGCGACAACTCCGCAGATCGCAGCCCCTCAGGGACGGCAAGGCCCCGCTCAGATCTGCGCGGTGCCTCACTCCGCTGGACCCACCAGCAGCCCTCGAAAGTGGCGACAGTTTCGCAGATCGCAGCCCCCCAGGGACGGCGAGGTCCCGCTCAGATCTGCGCAGTGCCTCACTCCGCTGGACCCGCCAGCAGCCTTCGAAAGTGGCGACAGTTCCGCAGATCGCTATGCTGGCCCCCCAAGCAGCCCTCGAAAGTGGCGACAGCTCCGCAGATCGCAGCCCCGCAGGCACGGCGAGGTCTTGCTCAGATCTGCGCGGTGCCTCGCTCCGCTGGACTCACCAGCAGCCCTCGAAAGTGGCGACAGTTTCGCAAATCGCACCCCCCCAAGAACGGCGAGGTCTTGCTCAGATCCGCGCGGTGCCTCACTCCGCAGGACCCACCAGCAGCCCTCGAAAGTTGCGACAGTGTCGCAGATCGCAGCCCCCCAATAGAGCCTCTTGGGACATCCTGTGGTCTCTTCAGTCTTTCTGTGGCCTCCTGATGCCTCCTGGGACCTCATGTGGTCTCCTGGGGCTTCCTGGGGCCTGTTGGAGCCTCCTGTGGCATCCTGGGGGGAATCTGCGCCCACGAGTCTGGCCACCGATCGAGACATCCTCAAAATCTGGCCCACCTGGGGGGTGAACATGAGCGCCGCGCTCGAGACATCCTCCAAATCTGCTCCGGAAGCGAAGGATGTTGGGACAGAAAGCAAGCAAACCGCTTGAGACATCCCCACAAAACGGCCGCAAACGGGACCGTGAGATAACCCCTGGCGGCTCCCCTTAGGGCAGTGAACATGAGCGCCTCGCTCGAGACATCCTCCAAATCTGTTCCGAAAGCGAAGGATGCTGGGACAGAACACAAGCAAACCGCTTGAGACATCCCCACAAAACGGCCGCAAACGGGACCGTGAGATAACCCCTGGCGGCTCCCCTTAGGGCAGTGAACATGAGCGCCTCGCTCGAGACATCCTCCAAATCTGTTCCGAAAGCGAAGGATGCTGGGACAGAAACCAAGCAACCCGCTTGAGACATCCCAGCAAAACGGCCGCGAACGGGACCGTGAGATAACCCCTGGCGGCTCCCCTTAGGGAGGTGAACATGAGCGCCTCGCTCGAGACATCCTCCAAATCTGCTCCGAAAGCAAAGGATACTGGGTCAGAAAACAAGCAAACCGCTTGAGACATCCCCACAAAACTGCCGCGAACGGGACCGTGAGATAACCCCTGGGGGCTCGCCTTAGGGCAGTGAACATGAGCGCCTCGCTCGAGACATCCTCCAAATCTGCTCCGAAAGCGAAGGATGTTGGGACAAAGAACAAACAAACCGCTTGAGACATCCCCACAAAACGGCCGCGAACGGGACCGTGATATAACCCCTGGCGGCTCCCCTTAGGGCAGTGAACATGAGCGCCTCGCTCGAGACATCCTCCAAATCTGCTCCGCAAGCGAAGGATGCTGGGACAGAAACCAAGCAAACCGCTTGAGACATCCCCACAAAACGGCCGCGAACGGGACCGTGAGATAACCCCTGGCGGCTCCCCTTAGGGGGGTGAAAATGAGCGCCTCGCTCGAGACATCCTCCAAATCTGCTCCGAAAGCGAAGGATGCTGGGACAGAAGGCAAGCAAACCGATTGAGACACCCCCACAAAACGGCCGCGAACGGGACCGTGAGATGACCTCTGGCGGCTCCCCTCAGGGGGAGCTGAAACCAGCGCCCCGCCTGACACATCCTCACAATCTGCTCTTGTAGCCAAGGATGTTGGGACAGACAACAAACAAACCGCTTGAGGCATCCCCACAAAACGGCCGCGAACGGGGCGCGCGTGAGTCTCACCATGAGTAAGTCTGAGTAGGAGTAGGTCTGAGTATGAGTAGGTTTGAGTAAAAGTAATTTTGTGTGTGAGTAAGCCTGGGTATGAGTAAGTTTGAGTGTGAGTCAGTCTGTGTATGAGTAAGTCTGGGTATGAGGAGGAGAGGGGAGGAAAAGGAGAAGAAGAAGGAGTAGGAGGCGTCCAAGTAATAATAAGAACCCCATCTTAGGATATGGGGAAAAACCTCACCCTCGATCCTCGACCTCGAACCTTGATCCTTAGAGGCCCTCTAGATGGGGTCCGAGTAGATGGCGTCGGGGGATCACGGCGCATGGCCATTGCATCGGCGATGCATCGGCGATACATCGGCGCCATCAGCATAGAGAACCTTTGGCCCCACGTCGAGCCGCATCGTCGAAGCACAGTCAATGCGGAGCGAACCTCCGACCCCACCTACTCGGACCTCATTCGGGAGGCCTCGAATCCTCGACCCCCCCCACCACTCGGCGCTTGCCGGGCGGGGCGGCCAGTATGCCCAGGGTGACGTGGGAGGGCCTCACGCGCAACTCCTCCATGCGCAGCACCGTCTTCTCGAGGCGAGGGAGGTCCCTCGAGCAGTCGGGAAAGGATCGGCGGGGGGAGGGAGAGGAGGAGGGGGAGGAGGGGAGGAGGGACGAGGAGAGGAGGGAGGCGAGAGGGAGGAGGGGGAGGGTGGGGAGGGGGGGGATCCCCAGACCTCCGGCCTCCGGCGGCCCGAACAAATCCATACTGCATCTGTTTCGTCATTTTCGGCGGCTCGGGCCCGTTTCTCGGACCCGGGACCCTCAACGCAAACAGCTCAGGAAGAGGAGCCAGGAAGGGCCTAGAGAGGCCCATTTCCCGAAGAGATCGAACCGCCAGACGTCTGAGGGAATGGCTGGGGGAGAACAGCGCGGATGGGAGAGAGGGAGAGAGACGGGGAGAAGGGGGCCGAAGGGGGGGGCGGTCAAACTCGGCTGCAGCGAACCGGGACTAGCGACAAGGCTAGAACGACGTGTCAAGCCAGAGGCACGACAAAAATACCCCACGACCCAGCAACCCCATCGGACGGACCATCTTGAGCCACGACCGCGACACCGTTGCCACGGAGCGCCCCGCACACCAAGCAAGCAACGCCTCTACCTGCCGCGCAGGCGCATGCCGTATGCACTGGGAGAGAGAGTAGGAACAAGGAAAGGCGACACCAGCACCAGCAGGGCGAGGAGATGCGATGAGGCAGGAGGGAACTCCCTGGTGGTGTGGCCCCCCCTCTCGCTCGAGACGTCCCCAGCCTCCGGCTCGGAGAGGCACCGTGGACCTCCTCGATAGCGGTGGGCCCCCTGGTGGTGTTGGTATCGCTTCTCCTCCCTCCGAGAGGGGAGGGCACACGCCCCACCACCGCCGGACTCCCAGGCCCCCCCCCCCCCGTCTTGGACCAAGAGGTGCGCATGGCCTCCCGGCCTGGCCAGGAGCCGACGCACGGCAGACTCTGGCCCACAAAAGGGTGGCCCGCGGGCGCCTGGCGGTCAACGCCTTCCTTGCCGTCGCTCGGACGTCCATCTCCCGTGCATTTTTCGGTTTCGCGAGAAAAAGTGCACACGTCCGAGCGATGCCAAGCTTCCTTCTCTCCGTGGGCACACGCACGGATGGATGGAGAAGGGGGACTAGCGCACGTTGCCCGTCCAGGGGCAGTCAACTTTAGATCCGCTTCCCCTCATGGGGGCTAAAACCGCGTCCAACGAAAGCGGGCTCGAGCACGAAAGCGGCAGCGCGCAACAGTGGCCGGCCAAGTTAACGTCACCACATCGAAGGGGGACTGGACTGGACCGCAACTCTGGGAATCCAGATGACCTCGCCGCCAACGGAAGGCCTGGCTTCGTAAGCAACGCTGCTGAGCATTCGAAGGGTTCAGGGACGCACCGTATGCCACCACCTGATGCTCTGCCCAGCACCGCCCTGTGCAGAGCAGCACTAGCCCTGGCCACAGGAATCCGGGAGAAGAGGGAGAGAGAGAGAGAGAGAGAGAGAACAAAACAAAGAGGGAGAGACGGGGAGGGCAGGAGTCCAGATTGGAGAGCGACGCGTACGAAAACATCCATGGATCACGATTCCTCGGGATTCCTCGTCTGTTGTCTTGGACAACTGGTTTCGCAGCCCCGCCGCCAGGCGCTCGGCCCTCTCAGGGTGGGCCAAGGGCGCGGGGGCGGCGGCGCAGGCAGGGCGCTGCTAACCTGTCCGCGTCGGCGCCGCAGCCCTCGCGCGGTGATGCTGCTGATGATGATGAGTATGACTATGGCGGCGAGTTCTCCCTCCTTGCGCTCAAGGGTTGTTTCCATCAAAGGGTACTCCTTCTGCTACGAAGCACCTGTCACGCACAATCGTGGCCCGTGGATGGACGCACTCCCACTTAGCCGAGGCAAAACTCTGTCGCTCAATGAAGATCCACGGCGAAGGCACAATTCGGGGATGGACAGACCACCCTTTAGTAAAACGTGGTTTGGTGAAAACGACCTCGGGACCAAACCTGGGGGGCGCAAGCCTGGAAAATGACGGCCGCGGCGCCCTCTCGAGAACCAAAAACGGACAATTCACTAATCGACGTGTCAGTGTAAGAGGTCTGTCCACCCCCGAACAATAAAGCGTGGCCAAGAACACCGTTCTGGCGATCAAATCGGGCACGGCTGCGCCTCAAGAGAACAGCTCGGCGGGAAGGGGGGACCGGAACAATACAACACCGAAACACGACCACGAAGCACTCGTTCACATGAACTTGCGGCTTGGGTGTTAGTACAGCCATCGGCCTGACCTCAGGAACGATCAAGAAGGAACGAAGCCCATTTTTCGAAGGAATAACGCATAAGGAACGTTATGATAACGCTCCAGGAACGATAAACGGCGCACGCAAACCTAAGGAATGACCGAGCCCTTTTTGAAAAGTAAGTGTTTCTTTTTCAAGCCGCCCACTGTACCCCCGGCTTGGTTACAGGGGAGCTCCGACTTCGCGAGGCCCCCCGCTCCTTGCAAATTCCGTTGCAACCGAGCGGACGTGCTCGGATAGATGCGACGTGGAGGCACTACGAGCCAGATCATCACACCACCCTGGTTCACTCAGCTCTGCGGGATGGGCGTTGGCGCCACCGACTCGATTCCACAGCAGCTCTGGCCCCCAGGGGCTCGAGACCCCGTCGGCGAGCTCAACGCAGAACCAACTGTCTGGCAGCCTGCCTCGGCGATCTCGGACGTGTCATGGATCTGGGCCGATGCCGCACCATCCTATCCGTGGAACTTCTCGGTGATGCCGCGACTTGTGGCACTTCAGTCGTGGGTTGATCTCTTGCCACACGGAGCCGACGTGGCAGACAAACCAGCTCGGCACCTCAGGGCCGCACCGCTCGCAAAAGGGGACGATGGCGCCGGCTCTCCCGTGGGGCCCTTTGCACTCGCACGGCTCTCGATCGCTTCCTTGTGCTCCTCCTTGAGCTTCTGCCGCATCGCGAAAGTGCGGATGGTGAAGCTGGAAACCTCGATGCCGACATTCTCAAGCCCAACGGGCCCCCCTGGCTCGGCGGTGCGCTTAGACTTCTTCCGCTCAGCGGTGCGTCTGGGCGCCTTTTGCAAGATGGTGGGCGAGTGCTCCGCGAACTGCCGACTCGAATCTACGCCGCTTAACTTCGAGGCAATGGGAGAAGAAGTATGCGAAGACCAATGCTGTCGGCCCGAGGTGCCTGGCAAGCGAGCGGTGTCCATTGAGACGCTGGTAGCGTGCTGGAAAAACAGGACACACGTGCACGATTAGGCCTCGCAAGCTGCAGGGTGTGCACTGCTTGAGGCGACCCTTCGATGGCCTAGGAGCTGACTAGCCTGCTCTCAACCTTCATGATGTACTCTCGTGAGCTGCACGGGGGAGCGAACCAGGCGACCATGCACCTTGAACGCGAGCACGTCGGATGGAGGACACAGCATGAAGAAAGGCACCCTGCGCTGTCAGAAAATATAGAATGAGCAGACAATGCTTCCATAAGCATTGGTCACAAATCGTAGCACCCCGTGCTCCGAAACATCCTCTTGATGCATTCGTCCTCGTATGCCCTCCTCCTCCTCCTCCTAGCGATCCCCGAAATTACTCATCGTTCAACCTGCCTCCTCGCTCGCACGGGCATCCGACTCTATGCAGATGTTTCTGACGTGACCTCTAAACCTCACGACAACATACCTGGGGCTGCTTGTTCATCCTGGGTCGTTGTCCTACGGCCTTGGCAACTAAAGACGGGCCCCGAGAGCCTAGAGGCCACCGCCTTCGGCAGAAGGTCTGCGCTTCCCTCTACCTCGTCTTACCCTGATTGACTGACTGACTGACTGACTGACAAACCCATGGGATGCAGACGAGACCCCCAACAAACAAACCGAGCCATGCCTGTAGGGTCGGGCTGTCGCTCGTCCGTCAGTGCACTGCACGTTGATAACACCACAGTATGCCTAAATGCAGGCCCCCCCCTGCAGAAACTCTCTCGCTGCATAGATTCTCGCACGACCACTCCTGCTCCTCTTCCGGGCCGGTGGCCTTGCCCGGTGGCAGGTATCCATCAGAGCGTTGAACAGCACCTCGTCCGCCTCCTCGGAGCAGGGAAGGGTGGAAGGGTAGGGCAGGGGGGTCTGGCAGGCACGCAGGGAGTTTCACAGGAGCAGGCGGGGAGGGGGAGGGGACGAGGAAGAAGAAAGAGGAGGAGAACGAGGAGTGGAAGGAGGGGCACGCTTCGAGCCTTTGCCCCTGCGAAGGCTCGACGAAATCAGGACAAGGAGAAACGTGAGGGAAATGAGGTGTGGAAGAGCCTCCTTACCTTCTTCTCCTTCTCCTCCTCCTCCTCCTCCTCCTCCTCCTTGTCCTTCTTCGTCTCTTCCTCCCCCTCTGTCACTGTCGTCGTCCTCCTCCTCCTCCCCCTCCGTCACCGTCCTCCTCCTCCTCCTCCTCGAGCTCAAGCTGGCGGCATCGAGGCTCGGTGACGGGTGGCGAACGCGGCCAGACATCCATGGAGGCTTGGACCATGGGCACCAACACCCGAAGAGAGGATTGCCTCCACCAGGGGATTGGGCGTGGCTTCACGGGGGGGTCACACATGGGGGGGTCAGAAAAGGTCCCCTTTCGTGCCCCTTTCGGGCCCCTCCAGAGCCCCAGGGGGCTCGTTTAGGTACCATTTGGGTACCTTTTCGGACCACGCTCGCCGCCCCCCCATTTATGATCCCCCACTACGCAGCGCCCAAGGGGAAAGATGATCCTAGATTCCAGTGCTGGTCGTAGTCTTTCGGCCGCCTGGGAAGCCCGCACACTACCACCATCGCCGGGATCAGGATCATCTTCCCTCGGTGGAGGCAAACCGCCGCGACTGGTGGTGGTGTCAATCAGGAGGGAAACAGAAACACACAGACACAATTGATCGTCGATTCGCCAGAAAAGATGATATCTATAGGAGGTGGGGGGAAAGACAAAAACCCATGGAATATGGGAAAAAATATGGGGAATCCGGTTGTTTGTGTCTATTTATTTGTGTGTCCCAGGGCCCCTGCAGTCAATCTCTAGGCCTCCCACATCCTCCCCCTCCCAGCAGCTGTCGCCACTGGGGCGGGGCGGCATCAGAGCTGCGGCGGGTGGCGGGCTGCAGCCGGAGGCGCACAGAAGGAGGGAGAGGCCAGGGCCCCAGCCCCCTCCCCCCCGCCTTTGACACTTGGAAGAACACTCCCCGGTCAGGAACCTGCCAAAATCCAGTGGAAATGACCCAGAGAACTGTCTCGGAAGTGAAGGAGCCGAACTTTCTACGCCGATGCTTGTTCTTCCGGCCCCACACTGAGATTCGCACAAGGAAACGGCTTCTGGTGCAATCGGCATCCTGGTGTATAATTTGTTGTTGCTTCCATGGGGAAACGGGGAACAAGTATACACCACACCGACCCTCAAAACTTCCTGGGATTGAACAACAGCCCGCCACCGGTAATGTGTACGCTCCAGTTTCCGAGAAATGTCGTGTCGGGCTCGGTCACCCTCCATCTAGGTCAGCGTCGATTCGTCGAACATCCTTGCGAACCGGCGCCGGTCGGCACGGAACATGGCCAAGACCAGCATCGACAGGATCTAGAGACACATCGACAGCATAGCATCGACAGCATCGACAGCATAGCCTGGCTTCGGACCTCCAGGTCACTCGCCGCGGGCAACTGAGCGCGCTCGAAGAAGTGTCTCAAGCGGGCTCGCGCCCGCTGGGGCAGCGCCGTCATCCGTCATCGGCGCGCGCGAACAAACCCGCGCTGCGCGCTCCTCCTCTGCCTGGCTTATCCTTGTAGTTAACGTTGTCGGTGTCCTACTTGCTATTATGCGTGTCTTTCCCTGGGCCCTCGCGCTTCCAGCGCCCCGTCCCGTCACAGATCTGGCGCCCTATGCAGCCCTTGATCTCAACGATCGCCAACGCGATTGTAGACTTCCCAAGTCGCTGATACAGGCGCCACTAGGCGCCATCTTGTCCTCCCGGTTCTCGAAATGCGACTCTTGCAGTTGCCATTCAACTCAACGCATGCAGGGTTCCAGGTCTCGCGGAGCTCACGAGCCTCCACCTACAACAACGAGCTGTCCGACCCGCTGCACAGCGCGTCACGTTTTTGTTCGTCATCATCGTCGTCTAGACCCGAGTCTTCGTTATCCTCGCTGGTTGCCCCAAGAACGCATCTCTCACGAGTTCGCGGGCGAACGCGTGGACGCCAGTCTCCTGGGCCCCATACGAGGCTGATCGTGGCCTCCTCGATCGCGTCGTACTCCATGCTCTGTAGCGCCGAAGGCATCCCGGATCATCCCCAACGGCTCGTCTTCATCAGTGAGACCAGCGAGGTGAGCCCACAATTGCGAACTTGCAGGGTCTGAGCTGGCTCACATGCATGCCGCCGTTGAAAGACATGCAAATTCCAGGTCAGAGGCTGCTTATCCTCCTCCTTCTCCTTGCGCATCTCGGCGAATTAGAAGTCATGTCGCAATTTCCTGACCTCACTCCCCTGTCGCAAGCCCATACGTGGGTCGTCGATCTGGACCATCAAAACCTGCGGATTGCTATCCTGTTCCAGCGTGGTCAAATCGAGATCTTCGAGTGCGATCCACTCCCACTGATCCATATCGCAGAGAATATGTTTGGCCAATGAACTCCGCGTCAGTTCTGGCCCAGTGACCACGTGATTCTTGCACGTTGGACCTTAGTTCTCTGTCTTGTCCCCGAAGGTCTGCACTCCAAGGTCCTGCTCCTGTCGGACGTCCGTTGGTTGCTTTGGGGCATATGGCTGCTGTGGCCGCGCCCCAACTTCCCACCGTCACGTAGGCCTGGTCGACCGTCTTCAACCCTGGCAGCTTGGTGCAATCCTGACCCTCTGGTACGCCAGCCTGCCTCCGACGCCACTGTCGTCATCCTCGTTGCCAGGAGCCGCGCACCGTCCCCCCTTATAGTGCGCTCGTCGGGGCAGCTCCGTTGCCAGTGCCCGTGCTCCCCCCCCTTGCTCCGCTGCTCGCCGATTCCTGCCGCACATGGGAGCGGTGGTGGCAAAGTGAAAATTAAAACAGGGCTAGGATCGGGATAAATCTCTCCAGAGCGTTCCGGAGCGCTCTCAGAGCGTTCCGGAACGCTCTGGAACGGCCGCGGCGCCCAATACATCCTCCAAACCCGCCGATTCTCAGAGATTTCGAGTTATCCCGATCCGATTTTGTCCCGATCTTCGCGTCGTTTTAGGAGCGGTGGTGGCAGAGTGAAAATGGCTCTCCTGGGGTCAACGTGCTGCACACCCACAAACTCAACTGCCCGGTCTCGAGGGGCAGACAGCTTCGGAAACGGGGCCGCAGCAGGGCACGCACATCCACTTTCCCTGGCTCAGAGTTGCAATTGCTCCTTGCTCCTCCTTGCTCCTTGCTCCTTGCTCCTGCTCCTGCTCCTCCTCCTCCTCCTCCTCCTCCTCCTCCTCCTCCTCCTCCTCCTCCTCCTCCTCCTTATTGTCCATCTTCAAAGTTGCGTTTTTGCTTGAGACGTCCTCCATTTTACGAGCAGGCGTTCGGCCATGTGCAACTGTTGCGCCACGGGAGGGCGGGACGTGTGGGGCCGTCGCTGAACACCGCCTCGGCATGTCTGATCCCGCCTCCCGCGGGCTCTTTGGAGGAGGGAGGGAGAGAAGGGGCCGGACGCGACTCGACTTCTTTCGCGGTCCATCAGCCCTCTAGCTCATTAGCTCATGAGCGCCATGATGCGTGCTGCAGTGAAGAGAACGTCGACGACTACAATGAGAAAGACGGCGGTGAGCTCATTGGGATCCAGCGGTCGTCAGGAGTCTCCACGAACGCCCCCTAAGGCCCAGAAAAACCACTAGCGTCTGAAAACCTTGATCCTCCAACCCTGATCATTTCTCTCCTCCGCCTCCAGTGCCCCCCCTCCCCCGAAGTTTCGGGAGGCCCCAGCAGTTCGCGGGAGAACTCCGAAAATATCTGGAGGCCTCTGGGGGGCCCTGAAGGCCCCAAACTGCAACAACCGCAAAAAGAGAGAGGACATGGAGCCCCGATCCTCGGACAACAGCGACAACTATAATCGAGTGGCGTGAAACAGTCGGAGCCCTGGATAAGCGAGGGGACCAACATGGCCCCCGCTAACAACGAGAATCGGTTCTCGAGCCTGGGACACCCAACCGTCGTCGACGACGCCGTCGTCGTCCCTCTAAACCCGGCCCCCTGGTCCTGGGGAGCTTTGTGACAAGCATCTGAAGCGAACCTAGCCGTGGCGGCGAGGCGCTCCAGGAGACAGCAAGCACGCAGACACTCCAGACACAACATCGCCATCGGCGACGACGGCGAGGCTCCCCCGGGTTCAGCTGGATGAACTGCTCGGTCAGGTCCAGGGCCCTGTGCACCAGGGCAGGACCGACGTTGTGCGCCGCCTCCGCTCGGGGGCCGCGACGTCTCGGGGGACGTCGCCGTCGTCGTCGTCGTCGTCGTCGTCGCTGGCCGGTGCTCAAACGGATTGGAAACACCGCGCCGGTTCTTGTAGCTGGGGGCTCAGCGGGAGCCAGGCCGTGTCGGGGCCCAAGTGGCAACGCGACCTGGCGCATCCTCCTCCACTCCTCATTATCCCATCCCGTGCCCTTCTCGTTGTGGATGGGCCCGACGAATGGTCTCGCGCTGTTTGTGAGGAGGCATTTGTTTCTAGTGCAGCCTGCGGCCGGGGTAATTCTTGTTGGTCCCCAAGAGTTACCGTGCCCGCAGGCTGCAACGGCGCTGGGCCCCTTTTCGGAACTTCGAGGTCCCGAGCCTGGCGACGCACATAATTTTACATATGACATATCACACGCGCGTCCTTATTGCGGGTCGCAGCTGTGTTCTGAAATGTGCGTATCTGTGTAAACATGTGTATACATACATCACGATTGGCGCACACATATTTCATGCAGGATTTTGAAGATTGCTGCTGTAGGGGACCCTCTGGGAAGTCCTCGTGGAGCCTTTTTTGGGCATCTTGGAAGCCTGGAACCGTCTTGAAGAGAGATTGAGCGTTTTGGAACGATTTGGGGCTGTCTGGGGAGCCTCTTGTCTTGGGGTTGGAAGGAAGAAGTCAAATGGACGAGAGCTTCTCCCAGTGTGGGGGTGCCCCCCGCTGGGAGCCCCCCCATTAACCCCCCCCCGGGCCCGCCCCTGGGACACCCCATTTCGAATCAACGACGCCAGCGCTGGATGCTTTTCCCCAAACAGCTTGCTGAACGGGGTGCTGTTGTGGTAGAAGCTAACTCTGGCCGAGGGAATTCAAAGCAGAGGCGTCCTCAACAAAATTGGTGGGTCGGGCCGTTTCGCCTGAGACATCCTCGCAACTGTCGTTGCTGAGTTGTCCGGGATTGGGCGCTTCGCCTGAGACATCCTCCGGAGTCTGAGCTCCGAGCTGCCGCGCGCGAGGTGGTCCGGCCCGTTTCGCCTGAGACATCTTCGCAACTCTGGGCTCCGAGCTGCCGCGCGAGAGATCATCCGGGCCGTTTTGCCTGAGACGTCCTCGCAACTCCGGGCTCCAAGCTGCCGATCGCGAGGTGAGCCGGCCCCCAGTCTCGCCCAGCGGGGTGCTGAACGGGGCGCTGAACGGGGCGCCCCGCGGCGCGCCCCGCGGGCTCCGTCGGGGGCGCGTGGGCCCTGCCTGAGCGACCCGCCTCCCCGGCGGTTCCCCGCCCGCCCTCCTCCTGCTGCTGCTGCTCGTCGTCGTCGTCGTCGTCGTCGTCGTCGTTGTCGTCGTCGTCGTCGTGGTCGTCGTCGTGATTGCGCGATTGCGCGATTGTCGTCGTCGTTATCGTCGTCGCCTCGGCCTCCCAATGCCTGGAGGCGGAGGAAGGTACGCGATGCATGGTAGAGCACGGCGTAGCACGGCGTAGAGGAGCACGGCAGATTGTAATTCGCATGTCATAGCGTGGCGTGGCATTGCGTAGTGAAGCTTTGCATCACAAAGCATTGCAACGCAAAACATGGCATCGCACAGCGGCGCCCAACGCAACACCGCGGTGACGACGATGAGGCAAATGGGAAAGAGAACCAGGAGGATGAGGAGGATAATGCAAAGTGGGGCGAGGATGTATAGGAGGACGCGGAGGCATGGCATCAGGAATATGGGGAGGATAGCGATGAGGAGGAAGGAGGGTAGGAGGAGGAATGTGACTAGAAGGGGGAGAAAGAGGTGGAGTGGGAAGGCAGGCGGGAGAGGCGAGAATGATATTTCCCAAGAGGAGCACGTAGACGACGATGACGACGGGGCATGCCGATCAAGAGCAGGAGGGCGATAACTGCAGGACGCGCGGACAGACTCAAGATTCACCCCGGCTCTAAAAACGCCGTTTGGGGATAATGCGCTCTAGCTATAATTGAGCTGACGTGCCCGAGGGGGAAAGGTGACCGCAGAGGGGGGGGGAAGAAGGTGAAAGCCGCAGAAAAGCGAATCCGCGGACACGCGAAGCCGTCTTCCTCTCACGCACGCCGACAGGGTCGGCGGATTGTAACTGCAATTTACTGCTGGCGTCAGGGATCGGTCGGTGTCTTGCGGGGCGCATTCGTTTCACGGGAAGCGGGGATGCCAGGGCAGCGCCCTGCACGCTCGCGCGCGCATCAACGCGCCCACGCTGGCACGCGCGCGCGCATCAATGCGCGAATGGAATTCCAGACGCCTGGGAGCTCAATGGGGGCTCTGAAATACAGGAAACAAAAAAAACAAACGGGAGCAGCAGCAGCAGAGGCAGAAGAGCAGGAGGAGGGGGAGCAGCAGCAGCCGCAGCAGAAGGAGCAGGAAAAGGTACAGGGAGGGGATATGAAGGTCGAGGACGAGGACGATGAGTCCGAGTACGATGCAGACGAGGCTGGATAGTCGGAAGGGGAAGGGGGACTTGAGGATGAAGGGAGGTGGTGTGATACTATGACTGCTTGCGGCGGTGCGCTCTGAGGCCTCCTCTGACTGTCCCCCAGGGGGGGGGGATCCCCCCCCCCCCCGGGGGACACTCCAGACAGGTCCGGAGTGTCCTTGGGGGCCCGTCGTGGGGGGAGGGCGGTGTCCTTGGAGCTGGGGGCTTCCGTAGGACATTCCCAATCATCGTGTTTTCAAGGTGTAGGACACTCCAGACAGGTCCGGAGTGCCCCCGGGGGGGGGGGATTCCCCCCCCCTCCGGGGACAGCTGGGAGAACCTTCCTTCTCCCTCCCCCCTCTCCCGCCTTGTCTTTCTTTCCGTTTCTTTCCTGTTCGCTATCGCTCTTATTTGCCTCGCTCCGTACTCGCTCTCGTCCTCGTCCTCGTACTTGTACTCGTACTCATCGTCCTCGTCCTCAGCCTTCTTATCCACTCTCCTCTCTACCTGTTCCTGCTCCTTCTGCTGCTGCTGCTGCTGCAACTGCTGCTCCCCCTCCTCCTGCTCTTTCCGCTGCTGCTGCTTCCGTTCGTTCCCCAAACAGCTTGCTGAACGGGGTGCTGACGTGGTAGAAGCTGGCTCCGGCCGAGGGAATTCCAAGCAAAGACGTCCTCAGCAAAATCTGGTGGTTCGGGCCGTTTCGCCTGAGACATCCTCACAACTCTCGTTTCTGAGCTGTCCGGGATTAGGCGTTTCGCCTGAGACATCCTCCTGCATCTGAGCTCCGAGCTGCCGCGCGCGAGGTGGTCTGGCCCGTTTCGCCTGAGACATCCTCGAAACTCTGGGCTCCGAGCTGCCGCGCGAGAGGTCGTCCGGGCCGTTTCGCCTGAGACGTCCTCGCAACTCCGGGCTCCAAGCTGCCGATCGCGAGGTGAGCTGGCCCCCGGTCTCGCCCAGCGGGGTGCTGAACGGGGTGCTGAACGGGGCACCCCGCGGCGCGCCCCTCCGCGGGCGCGGGCTCCGTCGGGGGCGCGTCGGCCCTGCCTGAGCGACCCGCCTCCCCGGCGGCTCCCCGCCCGTCCACCTGCCGCTGCTGCTGCTCGTCGTTGTCGTCGTTGTCGTCGTCGTCGTGGTCGTCGTCGTGATTGCGTGATTGCGCGATTGTCGTCGTCGTTATCGTCGTCGCCTCGGCCTTCCAAGGCCTGGAGGCGGAGGAGGGTACGCGATGCATGGTAGAGCACGGCATAGCACGGCGTAGAGGAGCACGGCAGAGCGTAATTAGCATGTCATAGCATGGTGTGGCATTGCGTAGTGAAGCATTGCATCACAAAGCATTGCAACGCAAAACATGGCATCGCACAGCGGCACAGAACGCAACGCCGCGGTGACGACGATGAGGCAGAAGAGAAAGAGAACCAGGAGGATGAGGATAATGTGAAGTGGGGCGAGGATATATGGGAGGAGGCGGAAGCAGGGCATCAGGAATATGAGGAGGATAGCGATGAGGAGGAAGGAAAGGAGGGTAGGAGGAGGAATGTGACTAGAAGGGGGAGAAAGAGGTGGAGTGGAAGGCAGGCGGGAGAGGCGAGAATGATATTTCCCAAGAGGAGCACGTAGACGACGATGACGACGGGGCGTGCCGATCAAGAGCAGGAGGACGATAACTGCAGGACGCGCGAACATATTCAGGATCCACCCTGGCTCTAAAAACGCTGTTTGGGGGTACTGCGCTCTGGCTATAATTTTCTGTTTCCTGTATTTCAGTGCCCTCCTGGGCTCGCGCGAGTCTGGAATTCCATTCGCGCATTGATGCGCGCGCGTGCGTGCCAGAATGGGCGCTTGAGCGCTGCAGGGCGCTGCCCTGGCATCCCCGCTTCCCGTGAAACGAATGCGCCCTGCAGGACTCTGACCGATCCCTGACGCCAACAGTAAATTGCAGTTAAAATCCGCCGACCCTGTCGGCGTGCGTGAAGGGAAGACGGCTTCGCGTGTCCGCGGATTCGCGTTTCTGCGGTTTTCACATTCTTTCCCCTCCCCTCTGTGGTCACCTCTCCTCCTCGGGCACGTCAGCTCAAAAAGGCATCCAACACTGGCTTCGTTGATTCGAAAGGGGGGATCCCAGAGGCGGGCCCCGGGGATATTAAGGCTCCTGGGGGGGAGCACCCCCCCCAGTTGGAGAGGCTGTCGCCCTGTTGGTTTCATCCTTCCAACCCCAAGACAATCCAAAAGGCTCCCCAGACAGCCTCAGATCGTTCCAAAACGCCCAGCATGGCTTCAAGACGGTTCCAGAGGCCTCCAAGACGCCCCAAGAAGGCTCCACGAGGACTTCCCGGAGGGTCCCCTAGAGCAACAATCTTCAAAATCCAATCGGAAATATGTATGCACCAATCGTGATGTATGTATTATACGCACATGTTTACACATATACACACATCTCAGAACACGGCTGCGAACCGCAATAAGGACGCGCGTATGATATATTATATGTGAACTTATGTGTGTCACCAGGCTCGGAACATCGAGGTTCCGGAAAATACCCAACGCCGCTGCAGCCCGTGACCGGGGCAGTGCCTGTGCACCCCGGTCACAGGCTGCACTAGGAAAAGGTGCGTCCTCACGGACAGCGCAAGACCATTCGTCGGCCCCATCCACGACGAGGAGGGCACGGGATAGGAGAAGAAGGAGTGGAGGAGGATGCGCTAGGTCGCATTGCCACCTGGGCGGCCCGTCACCGCTTGGCTCCCGCTGGGCCCCCAGCTACAAGAACCGGCGCGGTGTTTCCAATCCGCTTGAGCACCGGCCAGGTCGTCGTCGTCGTCGTCGTCGTCCGCGTCGGAATCCTCGTCGGGGTCGGCGGCGTCGCCGATCGTCCTGGTTGGGCGAGCAGGCCGACCATCTGTCTGCCTACAGCTCTGGCATCTGGGGGAGGCGTATGGCGGCGCGGGCGCCCCTGGAGCAGGAGACGGAGGGGAGGAGATGGACTTAACAGCGCTTTCTACTCCGCTGGCCCGGCGGGGGATTTGGGGAACACGCTCGCCACCCTTGCGTCTTATAAGCGGTTCTTGCGGTCGCTCGGACGTCCATTTCCCGTGCATGTTTCGGTTTCGCGCGTGTTTTTGTTGCTCGATGGTCCAGGATGGTCGCCGATAGTTCTCGCCGAGAAAAAATGCACACGTCCGAGCGATGCCAGGGGAGCCCGCCACGGGCCGTCACGGTTACGGAACACGCAGGCTACTGATGCTCTCTGCGCCGTGCGCAAGACAACCACGACTGGTCGCCACCGCCCTCACCAGCCCACCAACAAATGGCCTCCACACTTCTACGGAGCCTCTCCGGGGCGACAAGGGGCCCAAGTGTGGAACCGTCTAGAGCGCTCGCGCCCCTGGAACGCTCTGGGCCGCGCCCCGCCCGCCCCCACGTGCATGGACGGCACCGATGCACGCCAGCGACCTTGGCAAGGCCAACGACGAGCTGTGCCCAGGATCGGCGCGCACGCCTTCAATAACGGGGAGGAGCCGTCCCTGGTGCCTCAAGAAGCCCTGCAGAACACAATCAACGTCCAAACACACGGTAGATGGAAACAATCAGATGACACTCCCCCGCCCCCCGAAACTCAAAACTGACACGCGCGGAGGAGACTGCGGTCGAAATGCAGCTCATCCAACCCACCGCCAACATTAGAGGGCCACCTGGGAACCCTACCCCTACCCCCCACGATTTCTGAGGGGGAGGGTGGGGTTCACTTCGTTCGGGAACTCTCGAGCGAAGTAAACCCCACCCTCCCCCTCAGAAGTCGTGGGGGGTAGGGGTAGGGTTCGCATGTGTCCCCCTAAACATTGATCTTTGGAGGGGGGAATTGGCACCTGAATGTGGCATGAATGTTCGCTAAGTTCTTCCGAGGCCTGTATCCAGGGGGGGCGATGGCACGGATCCCGGACAACGGGTTAGCCAGACCAGGACTGGCGTCGGTACCTCGCATGTGTCTGTTTGGCTTCCTTGGCGCCTCCCGACCCCAGGAGAGAGGGAGGAGGATGCGGATGGGAAGGAAGGGGGGGCAGAGGACGGAGGAGGAGGGAGGGAGGGAAGGTGGAGGGGGGCGAGGAGACCCAGCAGCAGGGGGGCGGAGTTGCCCGGGCGCCTCGTTGCCCATGGTCAGCATCAGCAGCCGCGAGACCGCAAAGCGCGTCGCCACCTCCCCTCTTCGCTGCATGTCCTCGCGCTGCAGGCTGGGCCAAGCAGACGGGCAGCTTCCCGCGGGCGGAGCATAGGTATGGTATGGTAGGGCGTGCCCGAAAAGCGTCACCATTACTCACAACGAATCTCAGTCGCTCTCACCTTCGGAGGCCTCGGGGCCGGCAAAGGCTCGAGCCAAGGACTGTCGGCCCATTGTCCTGATAGCCTAGGTTTCAGACTCCCAGAAGGCAACGGCTCGCAGGACCTCCGGACGCCTGCCCAAATCGCCAATCCCCTTCACCGCGTGAGACCACTCTGGCTTGTGGGCAGGGAGGAGAATCGGAAGGTGAGACAATGGATGAGGAGGAACCAAAACATAAGCACGGAAGGGTGGAATACGAAGAGGCGGGAATCCGTCCACACGAGATCCACGAGGAGAGGCTGGAGGAACAGGACGACGCGACACGCGAACCCTGCTCACCTCGACGCATACGGCCCTCTCCCCCCCCGTTGACCAAACTTAACAGAGATACTGGATCGATGAGGGACCGGGCAAGCAGAGCGCCATAAGCGACGAGAAGAAGCGGGTCTTGCGCGATATGGCATAGCGACCTTGCGCGGTGGCCCACGCGGGCCGCCCACGCGGGCCGCCGGCGCGGCACGCCACATTGGAAGCGAGGGCGCCAATGTCTGTGAAGACGACCCCGTTGTTTGTGACTTTTCCCGCTTCGTGATCCCATAGGGAGCTCCACCGAAGTCCCCAATGGTGTTGCGTCCGCGTGCGGCCACGCCCCATGTCGGCTGACCCTTCCCACGCCCCGTGGCCCTGTAGGAAGCTTCATCGAAGGCCCCAGCTGTCCATCGCTCGGACGTCCATTCCCTGTGTTTTTTTTGTTTCGTGCGTGGTTTTTTCGCCAAATGATCAAGGATGCTCCTCGATGGTCCTCGACGAAAGAAAAATGCATACGTCCGAGTGATGCCAAGCCAGTGGTTCCGTTATTTCCCCTGCGCGCCGAAGGAAGGGAGGTGGGCGCGGCGGGGCGAAGACACACCACAGGCCCCATGCCCCAAACGCCCGCCCACAGACGCCCGCTTCACTTCCACGGATTGCCAGTCAGGGGGCGCTGTCAATGAGGGAATACGCAAGTGGAGGAGGAGGAGGAAGAGGAGGAGGAGGAGGAGGAGGAGGAGGAAGACGAGGAAAAAGGAGGAGGAAGAAGAAGGCGTCAACAACGAGGGTGGACGAGGACGCCGACAAGGAGGAGCAGCAACGCGGGCAGCGGCAGGGCGAGGATGGCGAGCGAGCGAGCGAGCGGTTCGCTGACTGGCTGGAGGGCCGGGCCCCTGACGGCGCGCGGAGGGGTGTCTGGGCAGACCGAGCGAGACTTGAAAGCCCAGCATTCAAGCGCCTGGCGTTGTCCCCCGTCGCGCTGGTGAGACAGGCTCCACGAGCGCCGCCCCCGCAACAGGGCCACATGCCAGGAACGCGCGGGTCTGCGCCCGCGGGGGGGACGGGGGGGAGGAGGGACGAGAGAGACGGAGGGAGAGGAGGAAGGGAAGGCGGGCGGGCGCAGTCCCGAGCGCCCCGGAGGCGTGGGGCCCTGCGCGGGCGGAGGCTGGAACGGGGCCTTGAGGATCCAAACGCATTAGGGATCTGCCGACCATCGCTTGCACGGTCGCCCTACGCGCCTGCCTGGGCCTGGGCGCGTCCAGAACCATGGGGCCCAGTCCCGCAGCCAGTGGTTAGATTGTCCTGTCGTGCATGTGCCTGTCTTGAAAGCGAACTGCATATCCCGATGCTTCTGAATCTCGACCAAGACACATAGTCTTCGTTCTCGACCCATCCACTCGCGTAGACAGGGTGACCTTCTGACGTATGCCACCCACTTCTCCCCATGCCTTCTTGGAGTATGTTAAATTTGTCACAGCACGTCGCGGCGCGCCCTTGCGAGCGCCAGGCCGTCCCCAAGTTCCATCGCCCAGCGCGAGCATCCATATAAAGCCGCCGCAGCGACCACAGCATCAAGCAACTTCAACCTCGCTGACAAAAGGGTGGATGTTTGAGCATAAGGCTTGCCGGAACTTAGCACATGCTCTCCAGGCAGCCTAGGCGCGATTTGAAATCTCCGCGCCTTGATAGTCGTCCAACCTGATAGCGCGGCCCAGATACTTCTCGGCTCTCCCTGGTGGAGTAGCATCGACCTGGGAACCGCCGACGAGCATGGCACCACCAGCATCGCTCTGCACGTTGGTGAGAATCGTGGTTTTCCCGAAAATGACTCGGAGCCCGTATCTGGCAGCGGCAATCTGGAGGTGGTCTAGCATTTCCGCGGCGCCCTGTCTCGTCTGCGCGAATAGTAGGACGTCGTCGGCGAACCGCAGGTTCGAGATCGGATCCTCCAGGCCGTCTATCACGAAGCCAAAGCATTGTCCATCGCGTCTCCTGTTGAACTCGTACCATGTTTGTTCTCTTCAAGGATCTGAAACATGATTCCACACACCAGAGCGCTGTTTCGACCCCCTTGCTTCGCCCTCCCCGCCAGGCGGAGTGAGAGCGGGATTCGACTCCAGCGACAACGCAAGCAGTCTGGCCTGCTCACAGTTTCCGAAGTAGTCCACTGCACGATTCGTCGACGCCGAGCTCGCGCAGGACGCCCCGCAGCGCCTCGTGTTCAGCCCTCTCGAAATCTACAAGCACGGGCCACAACGCCTGATTACAGTCGCTGCGTTTCTCGACGAGCACGAGTAAGGGTCAGGGCGAGCAGACGGTCTTCAGTCGAGGAACCTTGGCGGCAAGCTGCCCTGTCTTTCGCTTGCAGCGAAGTGATGGCACCCTGTCAGCGATTATAAACCAGTCGTGCAAAAAGCGTGCGCAGTATCGGGGGCATCGCAATTGGACTGTAGTTCTTCGGAAGGTATCTTTTGTTGAACAATTAATCAGCTTGGTGCGTCGCCACGATTCGAGTGGCCCTTTGTCCTGTTGAAGCACGGGATTGAACAGCGAGAGGACGCTGTCTCTCAAGTTCAGACCACTGTTCTTCAGCATCTCTGCAACGATGCCAGCGGACCTGGACGCCCGAAATGGGCACTGAAAGAATGGGCACAATGCCCAACAACAATTCCTGCTCATTTTGAACAGGATTCGCTGTCCACGCCGCCACGGCCTGTGTCCATTCGAGACAGAAGGCCGCCTGCCCAACAGCGGCCGCTGTTGGCTTGGGGCAACATTTGTTGTTGGGCATAGTGCCCATTCTTTCCGTATCCATTTCGGGCGTCCAAAGCGGAGCCCTTGCACTTCCCACTCTTCATGGCACGGCCGGCATCTGTCAACTCGAGCATCGTGAAATCGGGCGGCGCGCCGCCCGCATCATTCCTGGAATAACTCTGCCCCCGGTGCTCGCGTCGAGCGTCGCGTAAAAGGAGGCGAACACTTCGGACGCGTCTTCCTTCGAGTCCTTGACGTCGCCACAAGCATCGATAACCTGCGCGATGGGGCCCCTCGTCGCCGCTGCCACGGCTCGTGCAAGTGCGCCCAAACCTTTGCAATCGCCCCAGATATGCTCGATATCCGCCGCTTTCTGGCTCGCCTTTTTCCTAGATCAAGCGTCTGATTCCGAGGCCCAACGTCGTCCGCCGCATTGCCGTCTCCTGGCCCGAAAAGACTGCAGACCGCCTAACTTGACGCCGTGCTCGGGACAAGCGACGCACGTCCTTGTCTTCCGGGGTTTCTGCTGACTTCCTCCAGGCGCGCTGGCGCGTGAAAGTCAACCTCTCCACCGAGACGTTCTCAATCCTGGCTGCTGCTTCAGAAGGGCCCCCTCCAGCGGCAGGCCGCCCCAGTAGCAGACGATCCACGCGCGCCTCGTAGCTGTCCGCGCCCACATCTGGCCCCGAAAACGGTTTTGGAACGCGCGTCTATTTTTCTAAACTTGCACAGAGAAACATGTCCATCCTGCGCGACCGGTGGTCCGACCCAGTGCCGATTTTGAAAGTCGCCCTGCATTTCCGCACACTTGGTTTCCACGCGCACGGGACAATGAGGAAATCAAATTGTTTATGGATTGGCCCATTGACAAATGTCAAGAATTGTACAGAATCGTCTGCTTCGAATGCGTTGACGGAGAGATCGCCCATGTAGTATCCACTCGCCCCGCAGACTCCTCGACCCTAACGGACTCGGTCCCAGGGTGGCCATCATCGTGCTGCGATCCGGGTCCCACTTCTGCACTGAAATTCCCAACGACAGCAAATCTGCCAGGCGATTACAAAAACGAGCCCAAAGTTTCGTAAACTGCCTCAACATAACAATCCGCAAACCTGATCTGAGGCATGTACACGATCACCAGATTGAATTTTGAAGTGCCTCCGCGCAACGTAAGCGTCGCCTCTCTCTCAGAATTGCCTTGAAGAACATGTAATCCCACCGGCGGTGCAACAAGAAACCTACGCCGTTGGATCCTTTGGGGCCTTGGTGCCTCCGCTTCCGAACCATGTATGTCCCCCCTCCGTGGTAAACACTTCATTTGTTGATTCCAGCTCTTCCTCCAGACGATCCCCATCTCATCCGCCTTCGCCTCCTTCTTCCAAAATGTGGTACCTAATGTCCCCCAACTTTTTGTCGATTGCTTTCTCGTCCTTCGTCAAATTACTCCGAAAGAGCAGCTCTCCCGGGATGGACGGGTCGGTGCTCGTACGGAGAACCCTGTAAAACTTGATATGAGCATGGAACGTCTCGAAGGTAATAGCTGCCATCTTTGCCGGTCTCTGTTGAACGTGCCGACCGTGGCATTTCTGCCGTCGGGAAGCACCTTCGACAGGAAGTTCTGCAGTTCGGCTTCGATGGTATTGGCTTCCTTCCTCTCCGAGAAGTCGAAGGCCAGCACCTGCCTGAAACGCTCCTCATCTTCACCCCCTCCTCAGTTTCCTGCACCTCCTCAGCCTCCATGTGTACAGAAAGACTCTGTTCCCCCCCCCCTTGTCTTCGTCGATGGTTTTCCTCACAATCTCCCCCACCTCTTCCTTAAAAAATCCTTGGCATCGCACAACTCCATGTCTGCCTTCAGTTTGGTGTTGTCGATCTCCAAGTCCGCGACCTATTCCTTCACAACGCTGACGTCGACCCTTGTCGCCTCCACCTCCTCCCGAAACTCCTGGATCATGCCCTTCAGCGATTTCGCCTTGGCGCCAATTGTTGAAACGCTTGTTCTGCCTCTTCTCGAAAACTTTGAACCATTGCGGAGCCGCCTCCACGAGTGAAAGCGACTCCGAACCCGAAATTCTACTATCCCTGTCGTCCTCCAACTTCGCTGGCTTCTTGCCCGGAAACTCAGGGCTGCCGCCCTGAAGCCGCAATTTCCGGCCCCCGCCGCACGTGAGCCCTTGGGCCATCCCGGACATGACGAATAGCAGGCAATTGTAAGTAGTTGCTGACAGCGGACCCCTGCTAATGGCTGGAACCCTTGAGCACTTGAGTCTTGAGCCCTTAAGCAAAGCGGGGGCTGAAAAGAAAAGGGAGGGGTAGCAAAAACATAACAACAACTACGGTCAGGAGCTTTTGCGCGGCCGCCCTGGCGACACACCATGCCGTGCGAGCGGATCGCGTGTCGCTCCGCTCCGTTTCGCGGGGCGAGAGACCGGGAAACACTCAGGACGTCGGTGCGGGGGGGGGGGGGCTGGGGGCGGGGAGTGGATGGCGTGTCGCGCCCAGGCATGGCGGGCCAGAACCGACGGAGCGACACGCTGACCGAAAGTTCGTTCCCGACCGTATGAGGCTCAGATTGACGAGGAGGAGGCGGCAGACACGGAGGTGGAGGAGGGCGACGACGAGCAGTCGGAGGAGCAGGGCATGGCCACGCTGCTGGACGGGCCGCTCCTCCAGCTCGTCCCAGGCCCCGGCGACGTCCTTCTTCTGGATGCGCTCCTTGGTCGCGGGGGGCCGCCCAGGGCCCAGCCTCTCCCTGGCCCGCCACCAGTGGTGCCCCCCCCGCCTCCCCATCGCTCGGATGTCCATTTCGCGTGCATTGATCGATTTCGTGCGTTTATTTGGTCGTGGGATGGTCAAGGTGCTCTTCGATGGTCCTCGCCGAGGGTAACATACACACGTCCAAGCGATGCCAAGCGCCAGCAGGGCCTTGCGCCCCTCCCGTCGTCGTCCTCGTCCTCGTCCTCCTCTGGTAGCCTCTTCCTCCTGCACCCCCCCCTTCCCCCCCCCCCACACACACACGCAGGGAAGAGGAGCAGGGTCAGACTCTGCGTGGTTCGTTGGTACCCCAGGGGCGAATTCGGACTAGGCGGAACAATGAAGAGGGGTGGAAGAAGGCATGGACGGAAGGAGGGAGGAGAAGAGAGGAGGAGAAGGATGAGGAGGGACCAACCCGAATCTACACAAAGACGCCCACGGATTGCAGCGCTACAATGGGAACGGGCCAAGGACATGGCGGAGAGAAGCCTCATCTACCTGATTCCTCCACAGCTAGGCCCGCGAGGAAACGAAATGAACAACGTCGACCAGATCCGCAAGGTGCTGTCTGCGAAGGTGTAAAAAAGGGGAGGTCTCCAAGATGCCGAGCGCAAAACAATCCACTCGCAGACCCGCGACATCACCTACATCCTCCACGCGACAGACCAGAACGGCAACGTCTTGGGCCAGAGCGAGGCCCTACCCCTGCTGCTGTACCTGACCGACACACTCGCCACCATGGGAGTCAAGGGCATGCACCCTCGAAGCGACGACGGATGCGGAGTAGGATCAAAAACTACGCTGACTTATCCAGCGAATCCCGACTTGAACAAAAACGCCACTATCAGTGCAACTTGCTCCACGTTAGGCCAAGTGATCATGACACCGGAGGCATTCTTTCAATCTCGAATAACGGCAATTGCCCCGGACGGGGTGCACCCCGGGGCAACGGTGAGCGGTAACGCTTGGGCGAAGTGAGCACGTGAGAGCAGCAACACACCCGTGAGAAGCAGCACAACACGCTTTCGGGTACCAACATGTGGGGGGTCCAAGCCCTCCACCCACCCACGTGTGTTTGAAACCGTTACCTGGGGGAAGGGGGTGGCACGGGTAACGGCCTCCACGCGAAAGAGGACAAACCAACCTCAATATCCAAGAGTGTCTCAATGGAGAACCCCGAAATATCAATGAGCCATCCTCCATACGTGTACCTGTCGCACACCGTGGTAAGAGAAATCACATGAGGGCAGGGGTGAGAGAGGAAAGTTCTAGTTTGAAAATGAGCTACCCTCCATCCTTCTAACACACATGGAGGCTTTTGAAATGAATGTGCGCGACACTCCGGCGAGCACCACATTTTGGAAACACCCCCAGCTATAAGTGTACGTACCTGGCTTAAGTGTTTGAGACGTGCGCGCTGCGACTTACGCGAGGGCCACATTTTGAACCCCCACTGCATCCATGGAACGATTAGGAAATCATGCAAGACATGTACGCGGCGCCCACAACAAAAACATACACGTTGACCAAGACGCAGCCCTCAACGCGTGTAGTTGTGAGACGCTTGAGCAACGAAGTGACGCGGCGCGCAGGCGAGAACCAGATCTTATGAGAACGACCACCGCCCTCCGTCCTTGTGAATAGTGGAGCGTCTCAAGACGGGTAAAGACGAGGAGGATGAGGAGACGGAGCAGCAGCTGACAGGAGGAGGCGGACGAGGTACACGTGCTCAGGACTGTCACTCGTCGACCGAGCCGCGAGGCACCGGCCGCCTCCGCCACCCTGGAGAATGGAAAGGCTAGCGCCAGCGGGGGGCGGGCTCGCCTGCCCCTCCATCGCAGCTGCCACCCTAGCCATCGAATGTTTCCTGGCGTGCGGAATGCCCTCTCGTCGCCACGACTGGGCGCGGCTCGGAGAAGTCACCAGGATGGGTGGGGCATGGGAGAGGTCCAGGGACAGCTTTTGACCAGATTGTGGCTGGAGGAGGACGGGACGACCTTGCGGCAGAACGTCAGCTTCAAAGGCAGCAGCTATCGCCTGGATGCCTCCTCCTTGGCCTGAATTCGGGCTGCCAGCGCTCGCAAACGGTCAGAATCGACCAAACGAGACGACCCAGCACCAAGAGGGCCTGGATGGGGCAAGAAGCACCGACTTCGACGGCGCTCTAGCAGGCGCCAGCGAGTCATCACCCTCAGGATTCTTTCTGTAGTGAGGGTGGAGGCCAGCCTGAACACGTGTGAGCACCTGTTCTCCCGCAGTGCTCAAATTCTTGCAACAGGTCTGACCTAGCAAGTGGCATCGCCTGCTGGTGTACGCTCCGCAGGCAAAACAGAAAAACAGCGGTCTTTGGGTCTTGTGCAGGATGGCAAAACCCAACTTATGTTGCCGCTCGGTCTCAGCACCCTGGAGGCGCCTCAGGGCCGTGGACAAACCAGCACAACCATTCATCGGGCGGGACTCGCCCTCGAATGAGATCCCACTGAGCTCGTCCCAATCATGCCAATCGGGCGGGGGAGGAACTCTAGGCAACCTCTTCTCTCCCGGGGGTCTCTCAAAGTGCAGCTTAGGAAAAAGAGAGAGCACCTTCCCGAACATCAGCGCACTCGCTCGAAGGGCCTGCACCTGCCTATCCAGTATCTCCAGATCAGCAGGGGCAAGCTGAGGATGAAGCGAAAGGGCGTACTTAGCCAGGCGGTCAGCGTCCTGGCTGGCTAAAGCTATTCGCTTCTGGTCTGGAGGGAGGGCCTGTATGATAGCATCCGACCGATGGGCGGGCGCATGCTGCGCCTCCCCCAGGGCATCAAATCCAAGAGATTGCTGCGCAGCACGGCGGAAACCTGCAAACATTTCCCGCGGGCACAGCTGCGCCTCGTCCGAGAGATTCTGCAAACGCACGGCCCCTTTGCAATCACTGAAAGGGGAGCCCATGCCCGAGCTAAACGCACAAGCAGTAGCCAGGCCCAAATTTTCGGCCGCCTGGAGCGTTTGATGCAACGCTGGCCACACGGTGGCCATGAAGCGGGTCCGAACCTGGTAAACGTCCCCAGGTTCCAAATAAACGCCCGCGAAGGCAGCGCGGTTGAGCTCTAGAATTGGGCACTGGGTGGCCGAGCCGTCGACCACTAAGTCGCAGCTCTCACTCCGTTCTACAAACTCTTCAAGAGACAACGGCTGCCCACTTGCATCCTGGAGGAGGGGGTCCGTCGCCGCCGAGGGGGGAAGGAGTCATCATCGGGCTGGGCCATTATCAATCGAGACCAAAACAATCGCTCTGAGGGCTGGCAGTTACGGGCAGCCTCGATCAGATGAGACTCAACGGCTTCGCTGCGGGCCGTTGCAACCTCTGGGTCATCACGTGGCCACTGACGGTGGAAAATCGAATCAGGTTGGCCGCACTTGGAACAAAGTCCGTCCGAAATATAACCTGACTCTTGCAAACGGTCTGCCGTCCAGCAGCCATTTTTTATATATATATATATATTTAAAAAAGGAGGAGCAGATCCAATAGTTTGCTCGCGGCGGGGTTCGCTTCGAACGGAGGAGGGAGCGGAGGGGGTCCACGCGCGCGCGCACACCATCGAACGAGGGGGGACTCGCCGCCAATCGCCTCTCATGGGATCTCTGAACTCCTGACTGCAAAAGGCTGGCAACCATGGCTGGGCTGTGATACAGTAAATCAACAACATTGCCCTTATCATATTGCCACCTACTACAACTAAGTGCCTTCCAGCCTATGCGATCTAGACTCAGAAGCATTCGATGGCCTGGTCCCCGAGAGTTCCTCCACCCAGATGGTCCCAGGCGAAACTCCTGAGCCTCGAGGTTCCTCCAGAGCCTGGTGTGATCCCTGAAAGAGAAGGGGCTGGTGGACGGCGTCGTCAGACTTCTCCACAAACTGGTCGACCATTGTCTGGCAGGCGCCGCCGCCTGAAGCCACGCAGGATCTCCATGCGTGCAAACCTTTGCCGCAAGCGTCGCACCTCTATGCGCTGGCGAAAGACCTGTGAGCAGCACGCCCCTGAGATCGTTGAGTTCCTGATCAGACATCCCCAGGGCCATGGGTCCCGCGGCAGGCCTGACCCCACATATGTAAATTCTGCTCATGCGAGATCGGCCCCTGGGCAACTGCTTTCGAAAGTATCGAATAAAGCCATGACGGGTCCTCATATCTTTGAAACGGGCCTTCCTTTTTGCGCGCCCTCCTTTGCATGCCAGACGCTGTCCTGGGGCTAAGTCGCAGCCCAGCGAGATGGCCGAGTTGCAGGCGAGAGACGGGCAGCAGCGGGAAAGCTTCTTGGCCAAAAGATCAGCCACACGCTGAGACGATGCAAAAGCCGGTGCCTTGTCCGCAGCTAGTTGCACCCCCAGTCGGCGTTGAAAGATATACATCATATCATCGGCAGCTCTAACAAGATCCTGAATGGTTTTTTCCTTCTTCACCAAACGCGAGGATCGTATCGTCACCAATGTAAGAGCCCAGGGAAACTCGTGGGTTCCGAATGGCAAACTGATCAAACTCGAACAACGTGTAAACCTTAACGAACGCGTCATTATACATATATGTATATATATATATATATCACCAGCTGGTAATCCCGATTCCGCGACAAGGGGGAGAGGACTGCGGTGGGCTCCCAGCCTCAGTATCCTCGGGCTCCTCCAGAGGTTATACAGGGTCTCGACGAGCACCCGCGGGATCCCCCCCAGTACTCGGCACGCACACGGAGCCAGGATAGCCTAAACGATTCATAGTATTCCGTCCCATCCCAGATGAAGCCTGCAGCGACCTTGCCCTGGGACTGGGCTTCTTCAGTCAACATGCTCTGCTGCCACACCGCTGCTTCAGAAGACTGCCCCATCCCCGAAGGACCAGTCGGCCCTATGGGACCGAACCAAGAACTCATCAACTTCAGGCCGTCTCAACCTTTCCCAGATACGAACTGGCGCGGCAAGGGGCAATATGGGCTGAAGACCGCCTTTCGGCTTCTCGAGAAGCGGCAGCAGCATCCACAGCAGCTGCGTCGGGAACAGCCCGAGGCGCTCGACCGCCCCGAACAAAAGAGACATCACCCCCAGACCAGCATCGCTGAGGAGGCTGACGTGGCGCACGTGCAGCCCGTCAAGCGACTGGGCCGTGTGAACACTGAAAGACCTCGATGCCGACCGAATTTGATCAGGACAAGTTCGAGGGAAGCAGCTTCTGTCAGGTATCCACGCCTCTGGGGGTCTTACCTGCGCCTTCCAGTGGCCTCCAAGGTGGACAGCTTCAGCCTCTAGGAGCTTGACGGGGCCCGACGAGTAGACCCCTTGGGGCCACTTGAGTAACTGTGGGCTGCCACTTCTTCTGGAGCTTGGTGAACCTGTGCGTGAGCCTCGCGGAGCCTGCTAGAGTCTTCTGTTGCCACTCATCCCAAGACTGTTGAAGGAGCTTCTCCCTTTTGTCATTTGCATCCGAGAGGCCCTCCTGAACCGTATCCAGAAAATACTCAGCTCTATCGCGCCACTCCTGCATATGGGGATGGCCTAAACTCCACCCTGCCGCAAGGGCTCTCAAGACGCATCCAGTCTGATGTTGGGGCCTTCCCCAGGACAGGAGTGCCGCAACGAAACCTGGAGGGCCAGGATCTGGGCCTCGCCCTCTGCGGCGCTGGCGGTGACCTGCACAAACACGGCAAACGCGTGATAAAGCCATCGCCTTCCTGAGCAGACTTGGAGCTGGTCATCCGCATGCTTGGGACGATAGAGCACAGGAGCCCCGCAAGCTTTTTATCGACTGTCCCCTCATTCCCAAAATCTTGGCCTCGGTGCCCAGGAATCGAACTAGCTCCAACTCGGCGCAGTCCACGAACGTGGTCCAGGCGGCATTCAGACTAGTCCAAGCCTCGTCAGCAGGACTGCGACGTGCAAGAGCAACAGCATGCGCTGCCTGATGCAGAACGCCCTCCCAGCATCCTGGCTCTGGCACTGGACCGAAGGGTAACTCACGCGACAGCTTGAGGTGACTGCGATAAATCAACTGCTTGACATGAAGAGCACCAGGCCGAACCTGTAAAACAACGGGGCGATGTGGCTTGCTATCCCACTGCATGTCGGCTTGCACCCCCGAGATCAGCCTAGCTACACCAGCGCCCAAAGCGAAGACATCAATAATCGAACTGGAGGTAGGGCTTCTACAAGTGGGCGCTGTGGGGGCCATGAGGAGCATACCCAGCTTACGTACGAAACCTGAGCTCTCAACGACATCGGGGGTCATATTCCAATCTCCCGCGATGACCGAATGAGCAGGGTCACTTACAGCACGACCTAACTTGGCCATCAGATCGAGGATGAACTCACTGAGTCCTTCCGCCGACTTGAAATACACCGAAAACAAGGATATAGTAGGCCACCCAGGGAAATCCACGAGGACCTTCATGAGCCTATGCGGGGCAATGGGAGCATCTCCTTCTGGCGGCCACCTGAGGCCAATATCCAACCTTCCGAAGACAGCAACACCTGCAGACTTCTTACCTGTGTCGGGGTTGTAATAACTGGGCGCGAACAGCGCATGCCATCCAAGACTGCGCGCCTTGGCAGTAGCCCTGCCAACGAAGTCGGAGCTCGTGCCCACTTCCTGCGCACAAAGAAGAACTGCCGAACTCTCTCGAAGACGTCGTTTGAGAGTCGTCCAGCGCGAACCGTTGAAACTCTCTACCTGGTACTGACTGTCAGTACTCAACCTGTGCGGCGCCCCTTTTAGAGGTGGAGCGGGGGTGCCTGCACACGAGAGAGGAATCCCACAACACTTGGGAGCAGGGCGCTGGAACATAGTGTCACCCACACTTTTGTTTCTTGGCCTTGCTCCCCAGAGTTTTGATCATATCTTCGAAAGCGCGCTTGTTGTCTGGGCCCTCGGCCTGAGCAGCCATGAACAAATTCTCAACATCTTCTGCATCCAAATCATCCAAATCCACATCTGCTGGAACGGGTATGTTGGCATGCTCATCACCGTCACCTCCTCCCACCTTACTCTCCTGGGCGGGGCCCGCAGAAGCAGGAGGGGGAGGAGGTTGGGATTGTGCAGCCTCTGCCTGAAGCTGAGCCTGCAAGAGCGCCTTGTACTTGCCGAAAGCGGCCGAGGACACGAGCTGCTGCACCTCGGGGTCGCTCTGCACCGTCTCGGCCTTGAGCTCGAAAGACGGGGCGACTGGAGGGACCACCTTCGACATGGTCGCCTGCAGCTCCACCTTCGTGGCCTCCACCTCGACGCGCAGCTGACGAGCCTTGGCCTGCATGGCCTCCAGCTCCTCCTGCGACGCCTTGATGAGGGCCTCTTGCACCTTGATGTCCTCCTCCTGCTTGTCGAGCTTCTGCTGGGTCCGCTGCAGCTTGTGCCCCAGCGCCGTGTGGCGCGAGAGCGACGGCTTCTGGCTGTTGAGTTGAGACCTCGCATCCTTGAGTTCCTTCTCCAGCGTCTCCTTGACTGCGGACGGGAATGCATCGTCATTCCGAACTGAGTTGAGAGCGGCCTCGAGCGATTTGATACGTGCCAGCAGCTGCCGACCTGCATCATCAGCGGGCGAGTCCACATTACTGTCACCACTGGCGGCTGCTGCGTCAGGCTGGGAGGAGGAGGAGGGAGGGCCCCCACATGTGATGGCTCGACGACGTCGTGACGGTTCCCGATGTCGAGTGAGGCCACCCCCCGCCTCTTAGGGAGCCGGCGCGTCGGGGTGCGGCACGGAAAATCAGGCTCTGGAGCGTGCCGCGTCGCCGCTGCATGCGACGCGGTCCTCCAACCCCACCTGCCCCGACTCCATTTAACGGGCGAAGAACGGTATAACATAAACTTTTTCGCTGTCGGGGGCGCCTGTCCCAGGGCGGCTGGAAAGTCTATACCCTGACGGTGGCACCATAGGGGTATAAACTTGCCAGCCGCCCAGGGGCAGGTGTCCCCGACAGCGAAAAAGTTCATTTTATACCGTTCTTCGCTCGCTGATCCATGTGATGCACCCAGGAGACTCCACTGGCCTGGTGGCTCCAATGGGTGCGGGAGGTCCACCCCCCCAGGGAAGCCGCCGGAGGCCACCTCGGAGGCCCAAAAAGGCCAGGCAGCAACACATGCCTCTGGAGGCTCTCTCGAGGGCATCTGCAGTCTGCCGGAGACCCCTGGAGGCCATCGGAGACCCAGCCCTTGGAGGCCCTCGATCCTCGGACGACTGCTGCGGCCCCCCGCTGCTAGGCCTGGACCTCAGAAGGTGCCAGGGAACATGCTCTCAAGAGGGTCGCCCCCTTCTGAGAAGCACCCTGCATGCTCAGATCGTCGTCGTTCCGACAAGCTCGGGCTACTTTTGCTCGCGGCTGGCCTGGTTGTCGGCGACCGCGACCTCGGATCTCCTGTTTGCCCCCGCGCCTGGGAAACCCCTTGACTTCCCCCCAGCCCTCCGGGCGTAGATGGTCT